TCTTGATGCTGTCTGCCTACGACGTAAATCATCTGTCAGGTTCAAACTATTTCTATAAGAGCCACCTCTGTCACAACACAATGTCACATTCTTGACTTTGCCATTTACATCAGTTCGAGTTCTTTTTATGGTTACAGCATATCCTTGAGTTAAAACAAAGGCTCGAACATGAGCAAGGAGTTCATCATAACTTGAAAATTGGTCAATTGGAGGTGGAAGCATATTATGAATTTTTATTGAAACAAAATGCAAAGTACAAAAATGCAAAGTACAAAAATACAAAGTTGATTTCTTCGAGTTTTTAAATGAATCAAACAGTCAAGCCATTTGCTGTGCGATTTATTTGGTCAAGCCGTTTACTAATCGATTTATTTGGTCAAGCCGTTTGCTAAACAATTTATTTGGTCAAGCTGTTTATTAAGTGATTTATTTGATCAAGCCATTTGCTAAACAATTTATTTGGTCAAGCCATTTACTAATCGATTTATTTGATCAAGCCGTTTGTTAAACAATTTATTTGGTCAAGCCGTTTGCTAAACAATTTATTTGGTCAAGCCGTTTACTAATTGATTTATTTGATCAAGCCGTTTGCTAAACGATTTATTTGGTCAAGCCATTTGCTAAACAATTTATTTGGTCAAGCCATTCATTGGTCACATTACTACACTTAGTCACGTGGGGGTGCGAATAACAAAAATGGGGGGTGCGATTAACAATTCCCTAAAATAAGCGTAATGATGTATTATTAATATTAAATATTAACAACATTTTTAATCAAACATATTGTTAGCTATTTCTTGGCAATGACACTTGTATATAATATCATTTTTTTTATTTCTTTAAATGCTGACGAATTTATTATGAAATGACAGAACAAGAAATTGTAAACATAGTGTTGGGGCAATCTGAAGTTAAAGATAATGAGGGTGTTGATAAGATAAGCAAGCCAATTGTAACAAATACAGAAGCTATAAATGGTTGAAAATGTGCTTACCGTATTCTCTGGAATATAAGCATCACTCAAATATAAGCACCAGTATGAATTTGCAATGAAAAAAAAAACAAAAAAATAGAATAATAAATATAAGCACCACATATATTTCAAATTATTTTTTATTTGATTTTATTTTTATATAATAAATAAAAAATAAGAAATTTTTTTATTTTGACTATTCTTTCCCAGAGTCACCAGACTCCTCCTCTTCTAATTCATCTAATTCATTAGCTGAATC